AGAACCACAGTATCCCAGATTGGGAGATTCTGTGGGGGAAGGAGGGGGACAGCACTCCAACACCTGATCCTGGGTGGTATAAGGGTTCAACTCGAATCTCCGGGGTGCTGAGCTGGGTGCGTAAAGGGGCGGGACAAGCCGATCTTCCCTCACCCACCTCCTCGCGCGCTCCCCGCCGCCTCTCCCCCTTCCTCCTCAGGCGGCGCCGGTTCCAGCCCTCTGAGGAAACTCAGCAGCTCCGGCAGCTTCACGACGCTTCTGCCTTCGAAAACAGCTCCCAGGCAATCCCCCAACAACGCCCCGGCCAAACAGCCCCGAAAACGAGCGGGGCCGGGCCGGGGACGAGCCGGGAGCCGCCCAGGGCCTGAGGCCGGACCGGCGGCCGCCATCTTGTCCCGAGCTGCGTCTTCTTCCTCCGGGACGCTAGGGGGCAGTGTCCGCGGAAACGCCGTCCGGCGTTTCCGCGGACACTGCCCCCTAGCGTCCCGGAGGACCGAGGTACCGACAGCAAACCCGCCTTGAAAATCCCTCCTGGAATCCACATGGATTTAATCCCCCTCGGATGACCACTGGGGACAAGCTGCTTTTGTTTTTTATTGTTTATAAATCTCCTCGGAGCGCGGGAGGCTGTAAACATCATCCAAGGGGCAGAGAGTTATAAAAGAAAACCAAGGAGGTGGGGTGTGTGGCGGGGGTGGGGGGAGAATTCCATTCTCCTAACGCGGCGCAGATGTCGCTTGTTCTCTCCACCCCCCCCTCCTCCTGGCTCTATGGAGTCGTGTCACCACCGGGAGTTTTTGCGCGATTCCCAAACTAAGCCAGCTCCAGCTGACTGTTCCTCGGGAGGTTCCTGGTCCGGTTGACGGCGTCAACCTCTGGATCAAATTTCTCCACGGGGATCACGAGTTTCCTCCGGGTGTCCATGCACTTGTTGTCCAGCTGCAGGGAGTTGGTTTTGTAGCCAATGTCGGTCTGGATGCGGTGAAGTTGTCTGTAAAGAGCGTCCAAGGCATTCCTGGGAACGAGGGGAAGGGAGAGGAGTTGGGATTAAACACTGCATTGCCCACCAGGGAAGTGGTTACAGCCCCAAACCTGCCAGAGCTCAAGGAGTGTTTGGACAACACTCTCAGGGACAGGGTGGGATTTTGGCATGTCTGTGCAGAGCCACGAGTTGGACTCGATGATTCTTGAGGGTCCCTTCCAACTCAGGATATTCCCTAATTCCTAACTGGACAGGACACACCCAACTTCCCACCTTCTTCACAGAGCATTTGGCCCTGTGCAAACAGCAAACTCATCAGATACTCCTTGGTGGGAGACACTCCTTGTTTGGGGCAGGGAATAGTGAGCCCACACCCTGGCAGCTGCCAGCCCACAGCAGCATTTCTCTTGCTTCCTCTTCACCCTCCTTTTTGCCCCTTTCGGAACTGTCTGTGCCTCGATGAAGTCAGAGTCGAGCAGGGGCCGTGGGAGTCCTGCTCCCCTCCAACCACACCGACCCCTCGTGCTGTGCCTCGTGCCCACCGAGCCCATCCCGTCCCTCAGAGGGAGCAGGACACTCACTGTGACTCTGTCCGCTTCTGCTGCAGCACTCGGATCGCTGCCTCCAGATCCTGCACCTCCCCTGTCAGCCCGAACTGCGCCTGCAGGGGGGACCAGGCATGGTTTGACAAAGGCCACACTTGTCCCATTTCCCCTCCACCCCAGCTGTGACATTGTTTCCTTGCTTTGCTCTGTCACTGTAGGATCCATTGCTCAGCCCCTCCAAAACTCATCCAGGTTTTGCAGAGCCCCCGTCCCGCACAGGGCTGTGCCAGGGGAGGTACCTGGTCCCTGCAGAGCTCCACGTGGGGCCGGTACGTGCGGGTCTCCAGGCGGGTGTGAGCCACTTTCAGATCCAGCGTTCTCTTCCGGAGATCTTCCTCCAGCTGCCGGATTTCCTCCTCCATCTCAGCAATTTCCTCCAAGGTCTGAGGAGATAAAGATGTGTCATGAGGGCCCTGGAGACAGACTGGGACACAGCCCCCATGGCTCTGGGGATTTCACTGTGCT